AGGAATCTCCACACTGTTTTCCATAGTGGCTGCACTAACTTACAATCCCACCAAGAAGAGTCCCTTTCCTTTACTTCCTCACCAGCACTTGTTACTTGTTGATTTTTTTGATGATAGCCATTCTGACACATATGAGGTGGTATCTCATTGTGGTTTGAATTTACAATTCCCTGATGATTACTGATGCTGAGCATCTTCTCAGTGTTTGCTAGCCATCTGTCTTCTTTGGAAAAATGTCTGTTCAGGTCTTCTGCCCATATTATAATTGGACGGTTTGGGTTTTTTGTTGGGTTTGGGGTTTTTTTTAGTGTTAAACTGCATGATTTCCCAGTATATGATGTATCATTTTCAAATCTTTTCCCACTCAGTAGGTTGTCTTTTCATTTTGTGGATTGTTTCCTTCTCTGGTCTGTAGTTTTCTTTCAACATCTGTCTGCTTTTGGTATCAGGGTTGCTGGATTCATAATATGAACTAGTAAGTATTATCCCCTCTTCAAGTTTTGAAAATATTTGTGTATATTGATATTACTTCTTTAAATGTTTGGTAAAATTCATCATTGAAGCCATTGTGAGCCTGAAATTACCTATTTCTTTTTGAGTAGCTTGTCTTTCAAGGAATTTCCCCACATCACTCTAATTGTCAATTTTTGGGGCATAAAGTTGTTTAGAATATTTACTTGCTATTCTTTCAATGTCTTGAAGACCTTTAGTAATATTTCCTCTCTTGCTCCTCATATTGATAATTTGTATTTTCTCACTTTAATCAGTTTGGCTACAGTTTCCCAATTCTATTAGTTTTCTTTAAAAGCCAGTCTTTTGGCATCACTGATTTTTTATTGCTTTTTTGTTTTCTACTTATTAATTTCTGCTCAGATATTTTCATTTCCTTTCTTCTGCTCACTTTTGGATTTAATTGGCTTTTTTCCGGTTTTTTAAGGTAGAAGCTTATGTCATTAATTTTAAATGTTTATACCTTCTTATTATAAGTGGTACGTATTCTTTTTAAGACACTTAAAAAACTTTATCTGCTTCCTACAACATTTTATATGTCACATTTGTATTTTCTTTGAATTCAAAATACTTTCTTAATTCCCCCCTGTGACTCCTTCTTTGGTCCATGGGTTATTTAGAAATGTGTTTAGTTTCTAATTATTTGAGGACTTTCAAGATATTTTTCAGTTACTGATTTCTAATTTAATTCTGGTGTGGTCAAAGAATAGACTTTGTATGGTTTGAAACCTTTAACTGCATTGAGATTTGTTTTATGGCCAAATGGTTTATTTTGGCAAAGCTCCTATGTACCTGTGAAGACAGTATGTATTACCCAGTTGTCAGGGGGAGTGTCCAATGAATGCCACTTAGGTGAAGTGGTTGATGGCATTGATCAAGACTTCTGTATCCTTACTAATGTTTTAACTGCTTGTTCTTTCCATTATTGAGGGAGAATTGTTGAAATCTTCAACTATAATTATGGATTTGTCTATTTTTCCTTTTAGTTTGATTGTTATTGGAACATAGAGTTTGTTTTTCGTTTCAACTTTGCCCATAGAGTTAAGGGATGTTGCTTTAAACCAATAACTCTCCAACCTTATCATGCACCAGAATTTCGGGGGGCTTATGAAAGCCCAGATCGCTGGGCCCCATTCCCAGGTTTTCAGTTCAGTGGGTCTGGAGGGAGTTGCACTCCTCAGAGTTCCCAGGTGTTGCTGATGCTGCTGGTGCAGAAACCACACTTTAAGGTCACGGACTAGAAAGACAAATACCTTATGATTTCACTTATGTGTGAAATCTAAAAAACAAAATGAACGAACAAAACAGAAATAAACCCATAGGTACAAGGGACAAATTTATGGATGCCAGATGAGAAGGAGGTGGGAAGGATGGATGAAAAAGAAGAAAGGATTAACACGTACAAATTGCCAGTTATAAAAAAAAATCACAAGGATGTAAAGTACAGCATAAGGGATATTGTCAATAATACTGTAATAACTATGTGTGATCGGATGGTTACTAGACTTATCAGAGTGATCACTTCATAAATTATATATATGTCTAATCACCATGTTATACACCTGAAACGAATATGATTTTAATTGGAAAACAAAAATTATTCAAACAAAGAATCACTAAGCCAAAGTTTCTCAACCTTGGTTGCATATTACAATAACCTGAGGAGCTTTAAAAACTGTAACACACAGACTGAGACCAAACCAATTAAATTTAGGATCCGCATGGGGCAAGGCAGAGTAGTGGGACCCAGGCATCGGTATCCTTTAAAGCTTTTCTATGTGATTCTAATAAATAGTCAACATTGAGAATCACTGCTCTGTACTAAAGGAATTCTCCAGAGTGCCCAAGAAGGTCTTCGGGGCTCATTACCGACACTTGCTCAGTGTCCCCTGAGTGCCAATGCACCTCGGGGGAGCAGCAGCACACAGAGGCTGTCTGAAAGATCTACTGTGCTGGGGGAGGGGCTGGGTTTTACTCCTTTCCCCTCTGCTGTCAACCTAGCCACTTCCTCTTTTGTGAAATGGAGCCAATATTTCCTGGTCAGTTTCTACCATTACCAAAGTTCTGACAACCAATGACATCTATCTTTTAACACTAGTGAAAAAAAATCCATTAACTAAAATATACTTGGAAATTAAAACAATCTTTAATGATACTTATTTTCTATAATTGGATTGTATAAGTAGTTTATTTAGATAAGAAATATACTGACTAAAAATTATCCGGGTACCTTTTATCCTACCTAACCCTTATAGGAAAATTCATGTGTAACACAGGTATATCCCAAATAAACTTTAACAGCTGTTCCATTAGTAAACTCATTAATCTTCCATTAACCCTCCTATTTTCCTTCACTTTATCCTGCACAGGGACTTTGACCAAGGAGAAACCATTCTGGCAGGAGAATTATGACAAACAGTGCTGACACTTTGGACTACACCAATAACCAGCCTTCTATTTTTCTTCTCTTTTTCCTTTCCATCCTCCACCCACCTCCTCCTTTAAAATTTTCTAAAAAATTTTTCAGAGTAATTTTACCAAACTACAGATTATGTAATTTTTAGGATAACCATGTGAGGCAGGCAGAACTGGCATTGGCTGTCCACATTTGTCAGCTGAGACAACTAAAGCTGGCAAAGAAATTGCACAAGGAACTGGACTATAACACAGATTCTTTGTCTCCAGGTATAAAATTTTCTCAAACTGGAGGGAAGGAAATAAATGTGGAAAGAGAAAACAGATTTCATACAGCCTCAGGAGCCACCTTGAAGATTCACTACACAAAAGGCTACTATTGGCAGAAAAGAATATTTAGAGTTAAAGTCATCTAACCATTTTACAAAAGGGGGACCTGGCTTGCCCTAGGCAACCAGAAAGTGTGAAAAGAGTATAGGTTTGACTGGCAGGAGACCTGAGTGCTGGCCTCATTGTTCCAGTAAGCTTTGGATCAATCCGCATATCCAGCAACCTACAAACAATTTACATTTGGATGTCCCATGAGCGTTCCAAACTCCTGCCCCAAAGCATTTCCCCTCCTTAACTCATTCTACCACCACCGGTTGTGATTATCTCAGTAAATGGCTGGAAGGCAAGATCTTGGGACTCATGGCTCCTCTCCATTTCCGTGCCCTCTCAGTTACAAAATTCTGCTACAAATCTTTCAGATCCACTATCTCAGTTCAGGCCCTCACAAATCTCTGGCCTGGGTTAGGTTACTACAGTTGTGCAACAGATCTCCTGGCTTCCTTCTCTTTTGTTCTGTTTCAGAACTTCTGCCACCTCGCCTGCTACCACAGAGAGCTTTGTAAACCTGAAATTGTCTGTCATGCTCTACTTATCATTCATTTGCTCTCCACCGCCAACAGGGCGTCATCTAAAATCCCAAGCAAACCATCCAATCTATTTCTGATTTGGTCTCTGCCTTCTCCTCTCACTTCATCTTTCACCACTCATAACTTCAGTCAAGCTCAAGTTTTGCAGTTCCTCCACTGTCACCTTTGGCTTTGACACTAATGGTTCACTCTTCCTGGAACTTTCCCCCTTCCCCGCCCATTGTCTGGCTAAAATTAACTCACCCTTCTAGACTCAGCTTAAGTTGGAATTTTTCCTGGCACCCCTTTCATATGTCCCTTTGATACTCTCAAGTCATTTTGTGCAGAGTCCCTATTCAACCCAAACTGTTTGCTCACATGTCTGGCTGAGGGCAGTGACTGCTGTGGCCCCATCCCACTAAACTGAGTGTCCCTTACTAAACTGAACTATGGGGTGGCAGGGAGAGCAACCTATTCAGTGCTCGGTATTGAATATTCATCCAAAAAATATGAGGACTGACTTTATGCCATACGTTGTAGGTGTAAGGGTATAGCAGTGAAGAATGCAAGTTACTCCTTGCTATCAAGTGGGAGGTGACATAATAAATAAATGAACAGATAAATACTAGAATATGAAAGTACTATGTGGAGAATTAAAATAAATCATATGATATGAAAGTGAGTAGGAAGCTATGTTAGAATGGAGATGTCAGGAAGTTCCCCCTGGGGAAGCGACAACAGCTGACCAGTGAATCCCAATGCGCCAGGTATTCAGAGTAGTTTTGCAGCAGGGACTTCGGTACAAGGGACAAAGAACCAAGGGCGTCCAAGGGGCAGGGTGGGGAAGCAGTGAAGATGGGGTCAGAGAAGACAAGGACCGTATTATGTACACTTTGTGAGCCGGACCAGAATTTTGATTTGTTCCAAGTGTGACGGGGAGTGACATGACCTGATTTATACTTTTAAAAAGATCTCTCCTAGGACTGCTACGTAGATATTAGGCTGTCAGGAGTGGAAAGGGAGACCAGTTTGGAGGAGAATGTGCACGGACTTGGAGTATCTAAACGATAGTGGACAGGACCAGCTGGTTAGCCGATAGATTCCGACTCAGAGCACCTGGGTAGTTACTGGGGACAGAGCAGTGCTGGACGACTGCTAAGGGGGAGGGTCTTGAAACAGTCCCTGGCCTCCCCGGACCCGGAAAAGAATGTGGGTCGGGCAGCTGGAAAGAGACACGCCCAGACCAGCCGGCGGGCTGGGACGCGGAGGGAGCCTTGCGGGCCGGGCGCGCGGACCCGGGACTCCACGTGCTCCGCGCGGGGGTTTCCGCGTCCTCCGGGCGTGGCCGGAAAAGGAAGTCGGCGCTGCAGTGGCCTCCCCAGCAACAGCCGCGGCACCGGCCACCCGCCCCCATCCGGCCGGGCCACGGAGCCAGCGCAGCGGCGGGACCCTGAGCCTCCCCCAGCCGAGCAGCGCCGCGCCGCCGGGCGCCCAGCAGTCCCATGGGGCCGCAGCGACCGCTGCCCTCCGCCGCGGCCGCCCTGCTCTGGGGCTTCCTGCTCCGGCTGGTAAGGGGGGCGAGCGGGCGCTTGGTCCTCCCCGGGGCGGGGCCGAGGCTGGGGCTCCCTTCCCTTTCTGCACCCTCCCCTCCTGCCCGACCTCGGTGCCCGCGGCGTGTTTCCTTTCGGTGCCCCTCCCCTCCCCTGGACTCACTCTCCTTCCAGCTTTCCTCCACGGTCCCCACGCCTGGCCTTCGAAGCCCCCGAAGTTCCTAACCCCGAGAAAGCTCTCTGCGGAGCCCCTCGTGCTACGTTGACCTTGGAGCTCCTCTATCGTTTTCTGAACATTTTTAAATTACCTCTGAGATTTATTGTCCAGCCTTTTTAAAAATAGTTTCTTAACCTCTTTCCTTCTTGGGAAGAAAGGGGAAAAAATATACACTGTTCCAGAAAGGTCAGCGGTCATTCAAGGACTGCCCTTTAGTTTAATTGCTCCTATAGATTTTTCCCTTCCTCTGTAGTTCCTGTTTCGCCTTAGGGCTCCTTTGATTACATTCAAGGGAGGTTTCGTAATAGGAATAATTTCAGATAACTTTTAAAAGAACACAAAAGTATAATGCTTTTACTGGTTTCTCGTTCTCTGCCTACTTTAAAAAGGAAAGGAGTAACAAAGAACGGGTTTAAAATTTTTCATAATTACAGAGAAGTGGTAATGTTTTAAAATTCAACATCACACCACTGCAGCTTCCGTGGGCGTTCAGGAGCCCGTGTCCAGTGTCCAGCGGTTGAGTTTTCGTTTCTTGTAAATTTCACTAGGGAGTTTAAGGTTGGAAACTTTTAAGAGGTTTATGTACACAAAATTTGTGGGATGTATGCCTTTTTAGTTCTTACCATTAGGACGTCTCTGAAAGTATTTTTTGCACGTTTTCCAGTTTAAAGGATTATTATTAGTGAGTATATTCAGTATGAAAGTGCCTATAACATTTGTTAAGAAACCAAAATCAAAACCTAAAATGGCTAAGTGCCTTTGGTGTACTCATAATTTTCTAGGCAACATTTGGAACATGAGTGAGGTAATGACTCTAAAAATTGCTTGTGGGGAGGAGTACAATATGAAGAAAATACAGTAACAGTGTTAGAATGAATCTTTGAGGTGTTATATAACCAGATCTGTCCATAAGATTACAATTCAGATATTATGTAAATACACATATAACTATATGTACATTTAAGTTGTCTGAATGTTTTTGTACTCTTTTTCATTTAAGCTTAAGCTAATTGTAGGAATGTATCTTCTATATCACATTCCTGTTAATCCTTTGCTGGTGACTATTAATCCTTTCTCAACACAAATTGATAATTAATTTAACCATACATTAGTTGCTCATAAACTCACGTTGAAATTCTTATAAAAGCTCTGAACCCTCTCAATAGAAAAATGTAAGCAGAATTTTCATCTAATTTCAAGGGCTTCACAAATCTAAAGGTTGTCCTTTTTCTAAGTTTTAGCTAGCCTGCCGCTCCCACATTCTAGATTTTGTTTCTTATATTGCACATGTGTGTTTTGTGATATCTTACTGTATTAATCTTGGGTTCTGTACTCCTCAGTCCCAGGGTTGTGGGGACTGTGGAAGGAAGAAACTTAATCTCTCTTCAAGGCCAAATAGTCAAAGAGGCATAAAACAGGTTAGCAAGAGGAAATAACCAAATTTAATAGATATGTATGTGTTGGAACCCACGTACATGAGAAGTTCGGAGACAGAAAAGGAAAATGGGCATATAATACATTCCCATCTAGGGATGAGGTACGGTCACTCCGGGGCTTCAGGAGTCGTTGCAAGATGATAAGAACAGATGTTTAGCAAATAGAAGGGTTTCCTATCCTACAGACAGGTCAAAAGACGTTATCTGTGATATCTTCCATTATGGACAAGGCCCCTAATTCAAGTTCTTCCAAGTAGCCAAGGGTGGAGTAGAAGTTCATCCTGGCCCACCAGTAAAATTGCCCTTAGCTCAAAACAATACACTCACCCACCACACAGGCACATCTTGGGGCCAGTAGCTCTGAATCCCCACAGGACTTAGTTCATCCCTCCCTCCCTCCCCCTCCCCTCCCCCCTCCCTCCCCCCTCCCCCTCCCTCCCTCCCTTCCTTCCTTCCTTCCTTCCCCAACTCTCTCACTCGATGATATGTTTATTGATTTTAAGGAGAGGAAGGTAATGGGGAAACAGGGGGACAGGAAAAGAGAGAGAGAGAAACATTGATGAGAGAGATACATTTGTCAGTTGCCTCTCCTACATGCCCTGACCAGGGATTGAACCTGCCGCCTGGGTATGTGCCCTGACCAGGAATTGAACCCACAACATTTGGTGTATGAGACAATGCTCCAACCAACTGAGCCACCTGGCCAGTAACATTCTTTCACTCCACAAATATTTAGTATGTTACCTGTTATATGCCAGACACTATGCTGGTGACTGAGTAAACTGAAAAGATCTTTCGCAAATTGTGAAGATCTTTTTCAGTGCTAACTCGTGTTACTGATTTTCTATTTCTTGTTGATTTCTCAGTGGTTTTCCTCTTATCTCTCCTTCCTTTAGTTTCCTGAAATGATGTATTTCCCAAACCTTTCCTTTTCTGGGGAATTCAAATAAATCCGGTGTCTTTTTCCACAGCAGGAGCTCTCTCCCTTCGGCTTGCTTACTGGATACCTACTTCCTCGCCTACAACACTTGTCTGGTGGTGGGTTTTTTGTTGTTTTGTTTTTTTTACCATTTTCTCCCTGAAGCCCGTGCTTATTCCTCTTCCTGAAAAATACACCTCTAGGTGTCTCTCTGAGTTCATTTGAATTAATTATGTCAGCTTAATCATTTCATTTCTCCTTTCTGGGTCTTGCAGCTGGCACTGCCAGGCGTCTTTCCCCTTAGTCATGTCAGAACAGGGCCAGTGTCCTCATCCAGAGGCAGTACGCAATCTCCAGAAACCTCTGCCACTTTCTTGTGGAACAGGCAGAGACTTCAGTGTTGGAAAGGCTCTTCGCACTGTGTGGCCTACCTTCCTGGTCTCCCTCACATCGCTAACCTCACTGAGTATATCGAAATCAAGCTACTGCACTTCTGGCCATTTTAATGAATTCTAAACCCATTAAACAGTCAGTCTAGATTTAAAAAGAGTGCCTGGCAGGTGGTTAATTCTCTCTTGGCCTTTCCATTTTCTATTTCACACTCATCTTTCCCAGCGTGACCCCCAACTCCTGGCCCCAGCTGTTAGACCTTTATTTCACAGTGGTGGTTGGACACAGTCCCAGAGTTCCGTTTCGAAGAGAATGAATGAAGTTTAGCCTGGATCTGTTTCCCAAAATTGCTTCAAAGTTCTCTGAAGAATCCTGAGTCTTTTTCATGTTTTTACAAAAGTTCTGTACAGTTTTTCACAACTTAAAAGAATTTGAAGTGTTATATAACCACATCTTGAACTTACTGCAGTGAAATGATAACCAGGATCCCCAGCAGAAAAATCTCTTGCTGAAATTTGCATTCCTTTGGTAGGTTACACCAACTCAAAGAATCTTCTCTAATTCCTTCTCTTCTGCCCTCCTCTCTCAACCTCCTGGGGAAACCAGGTGCGTGCTGCTTACCCGTGCTGTCTGAGCTGCTGTGCTCTGGACTGAATTGTGCCCCCTCCCCAATTGCTGTTAAAGCCCTGACTCCCAGTGTGATCATATTTGGAGATGGGACCTTTTGGAGATAATTGGGTTAAGATGAGGTCAGAGGATAGGTTCCTTGTGATGGGATTGGTGACCTAATAAGAAAAGATGCCAGAAAGCTTGCTTTCTGCTCCTCCTCCCTGCCCCCTTCCCCCAACCCGGTGAAGACACAGTGAGCAGGTGGTGACCCATAGGCCAGAAGGAAAGCTCTCAACAGAAACCAGCCCTGCTGGCACCTTTATCTTGGACGTCTAGTGTCCAGAACTGTGGGAAAATGAGTTTCTGTTTGAGCTACCCACTCTTTGGTATTCGTTATGGCAGCCTAGGCTAAGACAGATTTGGGTATTAGGAGTGGGCTACTGGTGTAATAAATACCTAAACATGTGGAAGCAGCTTTGTACCTGGGTAATGGGTGGAGGCTAGAAGATGTTTGAGGTGGAAATATAGACACAAAGGGTGATTCTGTTTGAGGTGGAAATATAGACACGAAGGGTGAACCAGAAGTGAGGAACATGTCATTGGAAACTGTAGGAAAGACAATCTTCGTTATAAAATGGCAAAGAACTTGGCTGAGCTGTGTTCTCGTGGTTTGTGGAAAGAAGAAATTTGATCAGTGACATTGGATATTAGGAGATTTCTAAGCAGAGTGTTCGTGGAGCAGCTCGGTTCCTCCTGACTGCAGAAGGAGCAAGAGGAATTGAAGAAGGAATTGTTAAATTCCAATTGTTAAAGGAATTGTTAAAACTAGAAATGAAAAATTTGAAAATTCTTAGCCTTATTGCAAAATATGAGAAAGCTTCCAAAAAGAACACTTAAGAGTGTGGCTGGAAAACCATTTGATGACAAGTTTATGGGACTGTATGAGCAGAAACACGAGTTTGAACTGAAGGGGACTGAGATGGAGCAAAGTGAAGAAAGTTTGTTGGACTTCTTGGATTTGACAGGATGGGATATGGAGCTGTGTGGCTGTGAACATACATTATTTTTTAAGAACAGGGAGAAATGGCCCCAAAGGTGATGCAGAGGTCATCGGGGCCACTGCCCCAGTTTCAGCAAGCCTTAGGCACCTGCTGGGAGCCTTTGGGGATGGGACTCCACAGAACCAAAGGGGGTAGGGACACCCCATAGACCCTGAGAGCCATGGGGGTGATGCTGCCAACCCACTGGGCCCAGAAGGTGGGACATTGAGCCAAACAGGATTATTCTTGAACCTTAAGATCTAAAGGAATTTGTATTGCTAGGTTTTAGGTTTGCTTGTGTCCCATCACCCATTTCTTCCTTCCAGTTTCTCCCTTTGTGATGGGAATGTCTATCCAATGCCTGATCACCTTTGTATTTCGAAAGCACATAACTTGTCTGGTTTCGC